TCTCTTCACAAGACTTCCTGTGAGCAGATCCGGCACTTGGTCCTATCTGTCACCTCGTGACGAGTCCCCCTTTGCCACAGCATGAACGTCACGGGCAAGGACCACATCTCAGGTATATTACAATGCACCACATGCCATAAGACCCCAGCAGCAAGACCATCCAGCGCTCGCCGTCTGTCACACTGGAACCGGCCCCTCTGCCACCTACACAGCCCAACCGCAGAAGCAGGACTCTCAAGGGCTGCCTCTCCACATTCTAGGCTCCAGGGCTGCGCTCCACTGTCCTCACTCTCGAATCCCAGCACATTCCCACTCCACTGAGCACAGTTCTGCGGTGTATGCTCTGTGAACTGACCTTCCACAGACAAAGCTACATCTCCTGATTTGCTCAGAACATGCTGGAGTACAGAACCGAAAATCTAATTCCATTTCTTCATGAATAATCGGCCCTAGGTTTCCCTCCTGAATCAGGCTTCTTTACCTTGTATTCAATCACTTCACAAAAAATTCATTCAGAAAGAACATGATCTGCACTGAGGGAATGCAGAAGTGAATAAGTTCCTACCTTTGTAGAGCTTATAATTTAGTAGGGGAAATAAGACAGTTGCATAAATCACTAATATTAGATAAGGGAGTTTTAAATGCAATTACAGGTTCTGAAAAAAAGTTGCTATGGAAGCAACTGGTGGAGAAAACAAATCTGCCAGAGGACAGGAAAAGGAGGTCACATGAGCCTGCTATGAAGGGACTCTCCCGAGCCCCAGGTCTGCAATCTCGTCCCCCTTTTCACTCTGTGCCTCCATTTTCTCATCTGTGCCACACAGCACCTGAGGAGTGGATCTCTAAAGTCCCACATCAGTGATTTTATGGCTACAAGAAAAAGGCAACATTTGTACTGAATCTTCAAGGATCATTAGGAATTTGGCACATTCAGATGGTAGGAGAATGTTCCAGAGCATAAGTCAGAGGCTGTTTAGAGGTCAGCCCTGGAAAGACAGGCTGGAGGCAGCTGACGAAGGACTTGACAGTGGTTTGTGCTGCAGGCATCTGAGGAGGGAAGGGACAAGAGAGCGAAGGGGACAAAATGCTAAGGAGCAGCAGTGGGAACAAAACAAAGAGTCCCAAAAGAGTGACAAAATATGTGTATTGATTCTGGCTTCAGCACATACCTAAATAAGTGAACGTTTGAACTTGAGGAAAGAGAGAATGCTAAGGAGCAGCAGTGGGAACAAAACAAAGAGTCCCAAAAGAGTGACAAAATATTTGTATTGATTCTGGCTTCAGCACATACCTAAATAAGTGAACGTTTGAACTTGAGGAAAGAGAGCTCCCTAATGCAGAGACCTGTATGTTTCTGTGAAGGGGAACGCTTCTCAACACCCACAAACTGAACGGGCAAACCTCTGACCAGCAGGCTCCCCTTCCTTCAGGGCATGTGGGCAGGCCTCAGGCGGAGTGGGTGGCAGGGACTGGCAAGTGGTGCAGAAGCCTGAGGGTCCATTCTGGAATGTGGGGGAGCTCACACACGAGGGTACACACAGGCAGTGTGGCAGCTGAGCAGAGGGTCCATGCAACCAAATGTGTGGCTAGCCAGTGAGCACATCTTAGATTTGAGGGTACACTATACAAGGACAGGTCCCAGCAGCTTGCTTGGCTCACGGGAGTTCAGTGGATACCTGAGACTCATCCTAGCTTGAGGCACTGACACAGATCCCCTCCCCCCAGATGACTTTAATATGCTGCCCACCCAACATCAAACATGCCCTGGTCCAAAGGACTGCCTGAAAACTGGCTCTTCAGAAGCCTCAAAATTTTTCCCAGGAACACAAAATTGTAAGAGGTATGCATCCTCCTAGGACGGACACAAAACCCTGTTTGATCAATAACGCAACAGAGAGACACAGTCGTATCAACTTCCAGAATTTGGAATCCTCCCCTGTTGCCCCAATAGGTCTCTGCCTGCATAGCTGTGCTGTACAAACAGAAGTCACCAAAGCCTGCACAGCCTAGCCTTCGCTTGGGCTGACTTCCAGCTCAGAGGCTCCCAGTCCTGAGCCCCAGGTTGCTACAGGCCTGGGGAAATCACCCCAGACTTCTCAGGCCACTCTGAAGACAGGACAACACTGTTGCTGGGTTCTGAAAGCAACGGTTGCTACAGGTGTTTCCTCTGATCTTTCCCTGAACTCTCTTTGCTCCACCAAATAGACCTGGAGGAATAGGAAGGAAAATAACAGAAATACTAACAGGGAGAGAGGCTCTGAAACAAAATAAAATGAAAATGCATTGATGAGACCTTCCAGAAGACATCAAAAGTGAAACCAATTGTGTTCCAGCCTGGAATCTTGGTGGGAACAGCTCTCAGAGACAACGGCCACCCTTGAACACACCAAGAGCAACGCAACCCTGTGAGCTCAGCCCACCTGGGCTGGTTCTAAGTTCCCTGTCCACCCCGACTATTTCTTGCTGTTCTCTTACCCCATATTTGACCTTGACCCTCTAATTTGTCTGACTAACTCTGACCCATCCTGCAAGTCCCCACCAGGCACCATCTGCCCCAGCAAGCAAACTCCTTACAACCCTGGAGCTGAGCCAGGTGCCCTCCCAGGGACCCCAATCTGGACACCTCCACCACTGCCCTGACCCCACTGTTAAAACAATATTAGTGTTTTAGTTTCCTGCCTCCCAGACTCTAGCCTCTTCAAGGTCATGGAATCATTTTCTGCAGAACTCTGAGTTCAAAGTCAGGCTTTACCATTTATCAAGGATGTGGATAATATCACCTGCTTGCTTCGCTCTCTCCTCCATCAGGTGAGGTGGCAACATATAACTGCACTCTGAGGCTGTGGGAGAAATGCATCCATAATCCACACAAAGCCCTGAAGGTCAGGGTCTGGTGCACGCCTAATGCTTAACGCAGATTAACTACTGTCTCTATCTCCAGTGCTACATGCATAGATGATAAAATGTTGGTTGACACGCTTCTTTGCCTCATCATGAACTTCCTTTTCTTTACAATACTGTACCCAGCTTATGTACTTGCTCCTTAAAGAAAGCCCTTCTCCCAGTTCTACAGAATATCCAGGAAACACATTCCAATTCAGGTTTTAGATTAACAGAATGAAGGAAGATGGAGACTCTTATGAGCAAGGAACCACCCTCTTCAAAGCTTCATTTCTCAACATATCTTTGAGAAAAGCCACTCTTCTGAAAGTTAAAATATATTTTTTTCTTGCAAAAACACATACAAATGGGCCGGCCCAGTGGCGCACTGGATAAGCGCGCCGCTTGGGAAGCGTGGCGGCGCTCCCGCCCGAGGGTTCGGATCCCACATACAGACCGGTTCCTGCTCACTGGCTGAGCGAGGCGCGGGAGCAACACCGAGGGTTGCGATCCCGTTGCTGGTCCCCGGTCCGGTACGGGGGCAACACTGAGGGTTGCGATCCGTTGCCGGACACGGAAAAAGACAAAAGACAAAAAAAAAAAAAAACACATACAAATCATTGCATCTGATGAGCAGTCCTGCAGTATTGATTCTCCTGGAAAATAACATTAAAGCACGCATTTTTACTTCTGGATTTTGGAAAACACTTAGGGCAGCACCTTAATTTAATCCTGAATGAACTGGGGCCACCCAAGGAGTTTAATACACTTGCCCAAGGTCAAATAGCTGGGGCAGGAAGTTGGGCAGGAAGTGAGGCAAGCGCTGTCCTTCAGCCATAATACCCAGCAGGCACATTAACAGTAGCTTCAATTTAATTTCTTCTTCTAATTAAGAAAATGTATTCATGTGTATCAGTAACACAGAAACAAAGCAGAAAAGAGGCTGGTGCCTGAAATGATTACCTCAAATGACTTTTCTAGTCTTACAGGACAGAAAGGCACCTTCAGCCTAGTTCTTGGATCTCAGAGGTAGTAAACTACCCTGAGTGAGTAAGGCGAGCCCGTCTTCCTTGGAAGCCTTCCATTCCATTCCTAGCCTCTTGGCTGCCTGATATCTCACACCCTGGGAAGCCAGAACGTTTCCTGCTTGGTCAAATGCCCTGGAAGAGTCTGAGGGTTCAATATCATCCCGAGTGGCCCCAGACCACCAAGCTCCCAAGGGAGCAAACCTATCTCCATCCTCTCTAATTCAAGTGCAGAGTGGGAGAAGGACCAGTGACAGAGCTGGAAAAGCTGATGCCAGGGACAGATTAGCCACATCCCTTAGTGTGGCCTGGGCTTATGTGTGGCTGACCTCTCCGCTCTAAGCTACAATGTCGTCATGGTCACAATGAGGGGATTGAGCTAGCAAATGTGTGGTGACCCATCCAGTTCTGAGATTCTCGGTCCATGAGGACAGGCTTCCTTCCCCTGTCTCTACCACCACAGAGAAAGGCTCCCAGGAGGGAGAAGAAATTTGAACAAAAGAAGGCAGTAGGCCAAATTATGAACCACAGTGGAAAAAACAGCGTTCTCAGAGTCAGGCAACGTGGCTCACAGCTTCTGGCCCTGCCACCATCTGGCTGAGCGGCACTGTCACCCCAGAACCTCAGCAGCTTCAGCTAAACAGTGTATGAGGTCCTTCCAAAGTCCCAGACCACAGTAAATTTTTGAAACAGGAACCGTACTCTAGTAACAGTCTGGATACAGGGATTACAAACTAGCAAATCTAGGACACTGGAATATGTGCATTAAATAGAAATTTGATAGTACTCTTCCAGTTTCCAAAACACGCATCCATTGCATGGCTAGGGGTGCCCACAGCATGCATTTGAGTCCACCTTTCCAGGCATACTGACGTTAAATCAGGGCCTCTTTTAAAACATAAACTGCAAAACTCAAATTGTGCTGGGTCTGGAAATTTTACATCCCATTAAAATTGGATTATTTGCACTCATTTTCTGATGAGGTTCTCAAATCATGCACGGCCCTTTGATACGATATACACCCTGTGGGGGTACAACTCCAAAGCCCACCATGGACACCATGCCATCCCCTTCCCTCAACACTGCCATACTCACTCGGAAGCAGGGCTCAGATCACTCAGTCTCCTCCTCCAAAACCATCGATGGCTTCCACTGGCACGGGGTCAAGCCCAAAGTCTTGGCCTACAATTCAAAGATTTCATGACTTAATCCCAACCTGCCCTCTCTAGTCATATTTCCTTTCTGCACACTAAAAATTAATAAAAACAAAATGTAAAAGGCACTAGAAAAGTACAAAAGACCAAGTCCCTAATCTCAGTACTGGAGAAGAGAACACAATGAAAACAAGTCTTTGGTCTCCTCCAGAGTCCCTGGGACCAATCCCATGGGAGAGTCAGGGCTTATACCTCTTCCTTCCCCCTTCCCTTGCTGGGGCAGCTGCCTCACGACAGGGGCCCTTCCTACCACCTTGGACCTGCCCCACGTGCAAGCTTTGACTCAAACACCACCTCCATCACAAAGCCACCCTGACCCCTCCTCTCCCTGCCTGTCCCTCCTGGCGACTCCCAGGGCTCCCACCTCTACACCACCTTACTTTCTGCCTGGCGTTTTATTTGTAAACCCGTCTCATCTGCCCGGCTAGACTCTCACCACTAGCCTGATTCACTGGGACATGTCCTTACTAGATCTCCCAAGCCCCGTGTCCGGAAAGTGCTTTCTTCGCCAGTTAATGCAGGATGTCTGGTCTCCTTCTAGTGTAGGGAGAGTTCCCTAGGGGCCTTTAACTCTTCTCTGCTACCTGGCCTTTGACCCCCGCACAAAGAAGTACAGGGTATCCGTTCAATGGACATTTTTCTTTTTATTCACAGAAAATGAGACAGAGAAGAACGAACTTTGGGAGTGACCACCCTGAGACCAACCTAGGAAGAGCATTAGAGTCAAAGAAGTCGCCTCTTCCCACCAAGACGGGAAAGCCTCCAGACTTGCCTAAGCGACCAAATAGCTGAGCGCCCCGGCTGGTGCAGGGAAGGGGCGCATCTGCTGCAGGGTGGGGTGGGGTACAAGCTGCAGGGAACTTCCCTGGCGGCCTGCGGGGAGAGGCTTGCAGGGAGGGCAGCAGGGAGAGGGCGGACGCGGTCCCCGTGCGCGCCTGGGAGGTGCAGAGCGGGGGCCACGCGGCGCCCGGCCGAGTTCGGCCA